TTTTGGTCTTCCCGAGACTGGAGCGAAAAGCCCGAGCGAAGAATTTCGAGTCAAATTCTGAGAGACCAAACAATTAAATTTAGGAATTCTTAAAATGTTCCCTGCTTTTTCTGCCTGTTGGTGTCGAGTGGGGGCACAGCTGCGACGCCAGGGAGCTTCTCAGCCTCTCCCATCCCTGCTTTTCCTGCTTTTCCCAGCCTGGCCTTTGCCGCTCTTTTGGAGTCGCCACGTGGAGAGCTAAGAATAGAAACCTCCTCAAAATGCAATTCAGCATCTTACCTTCCTGCCCGTGAATCTTTTCAGTGATAAACTGAATAAAAAAAAAAAAAACCCCCCCGGGGCTCGGGGTGGTGTGGGAAGAAGGAAAGGGGGGGTGGGAAGAAGGAAGGGGGCGTGGAAAACTCGCCGGGAATTTCCCAGCGCCCGAAATATCAATTTGTTCTGGTGGCCCCGGGGCTGTGAAATCGCCTCTCCCCGAGCACCCAAACCGGCCTGGGATGGTTATGGCACGTTCAGGGGGCAATTTTCCTGCTGTTTTCTTGCTCCTGCTGGTTGCTGTTCCCAATTCCTGCGGGTTGGAATGCAGGGAACACCAATATCCTTACCGGGATAAATGCTGCAGCGACTGTGCCCCGGGTAAGTTGGTTCTGTGGGAGATCTTATTTATTATATAAAATATAGAAATGTAGAAACCAACTTTGTAGGAATATTTCAGGATATCAGGATATATTTCAATATATACAGGGATATATTTAAGGCTGGAGGAAGGATAACAGAGAGAAAATTTGGTGAGGAGCTTTTTTGCTTTCTATAACATAAAATCTTTCTGATAAATCTTATAAAATAACGTACAAAATTTAGGGATCTTCCTTTTATTCTTTAATTTCTGTGTCTCTAATGTGTCAGTCAAGGGCATTTTCACTTTGGGAATGTTGTCTGGAAAATAAAAAGTGGGAGCAATTCTGTTGTTGTCTTTTATCACATAAAGAACCTCGGAAGTCTTAGATAATAAGGAAAATTATTATTTCTGTTGCTAAAGATTTTTTTTTTAAGCTTTTTCCTTTGTGGCAGAGTTTATATTACTCATGTTAGTGGTGGTTTTTTCAAGGAAAAAAAAAAATCAATGTTCTTGGCTCGTAGAGATCAGCAAAGTGTAACAAGGTGAGGGTTTTTTTAAAGGAAAAATATTTGATTTACAGATGAAGATGAGCAAATTTACGTGACAGGGAGTGTATTTGTTTCCTCCCTTCTTCTTGTAGAGACTGAAAGAGTTTTTTTCCACAATCCACGAGTCTCCAGGAGGGATTTCAGCCTTTTGTCAGGAGAAACCAGCTTGGTTTTCCCTCCTTACTTGTTATTTTCATCATTAAATCTATCCCCGAGATGGATGTGGGGTGAACTGATGCAGGAGTTTTATCCTCCAGGATGCTAATTGGGCTAAAATCAGCCTTTAATCTTAAGATTTGAGGCAGTTTGTTGCATTATTCTCAAAACTCTTTAAAATCTGAGTGTTTGGGAACTCAAGGCACGTTTGTGGGCAGAGACAGATAAATAACACTTTATCTCTCACATTTTCTTCCCCCTTAAACTGAAAAAAACCCCTCTTATCAGGTTTTTGCATTGTTAGAAAATGTGCTGCTGTTGGGGAAACGTTTCTTCACAGTCTCTTCCTCTTGTAGATATTAAAATGTCATTTTTTGCACATATTATGCTCCCTAATAATCCTAATTTTGCCACTCAGCCCTCAATAAAACAGAATTAGAGCGAGCAAGAGGCTCGATGCTCATTCACCTGCAGGTGGGAAAATGGAGAAGCAAAATGAAGGGAACAACAATTTTTGTCCCTGTTTGGGGTTATTTGGGCTGAACTGCATTATTTATGTATAAATATATATATTTAAGTCCTGAAGGAAGGCAGGTTCTGTCACAAAGCCATTGTACTACACTGGAAGTCAAACTTATTGCTGTGCTAAAAACCTGCTTTTTTCCTGCCACTGGGTGCAAACTGAGATGCACAAACCACATGGAAAAGTGGTCTGGAGAAGGGATATTTGGGATCTGCTGGGAGAACCATTTGGGGCACGAAACCTCAGCCTTTTTTCTGCCACTGGGTGCAAACTGAGATGTCCAAACCCTATGGAAAGGTGGTCTGGAGAAGGGATATTTGGGATCTGCTGGGAGAATCATTTGGGGTATGAACCCTCAGCCTTTTTTCCTGCTGCTGGCTGCAACCTGAGGTGTCCAAACCCTATGGAAAGGTGGTCTGGAGAAGGGATATTTGGGATCTGCTGGGAGAATCATTGCCTCAGCTCTCAGACCCTTTTTATCCCACTTCAGCTGCTCGTTCCCAGTGGTGCTGTGGGGCAGTTTTTTGGGATGTTGGGATCCTAAAACCTGCCGAGTGTTCTCAGGCAGAGCTGGAAGCTGGACCAGCACACTCAGGGCACTGTTTCATCCTAATGCATGGAAATGCTTTACCCTGTGAAAATGAAAATCCTAATTCAGGGGAAAAAATGGGGGGGGAAAAAGAGGGTTTTGTGGTGATACCAAGGAGTGGGTGCTCTGTGATCCCTGTTTTAGGGGAGAGGATGAGGAACCGCTGCACGGCCACGGCAGACACGGAGTGTATCCCCTGCCAGGATGAATATTTCAGCAGTGAGCACCACCACAGTTTCTGCAACAGCTGCACAGTCTGCAACACCAGTAAGGCACTGGGCAGGGGGGCATTTCCTCCCACAGAGTCGGGAAGAATCAGTCTCTGTTTCCTTTCTCACCTCCCACCCAGAGTCTGGGTTGTGCCAATGTCTGATCCCTCCTGCTCCTGGTGGGGCCTGAAACCTCTGCAGGGTTGTTCTCTGTTCCCTGCAGGTGTTTCCACACATGGTGGGGAATTAATTTGTGTTCTCTCTCGGTGTTATGCCTTGTCTCTCACTTGCTTTTTAATCCTTTTTTTTTAGGGAGGGGGAGCGTGGAGGTGAAGAAGTGTGAGAAGACCTCGGACAGGGTGTGCATGTGCCAGGCAGGGTTCATGCCAGCTGGGCTGCCCCTGGGAAGTGGTGAGTCAGGGATCAGAGAATTATAGAATCA